ATGCCACGAACACCTCGTCAAGTTCCCTGCATACTTCATCACGCGCGCTCACGGCTCAATCCTTTACTTTTCCCCTTCTTCCTGTGGCTTCCTCGATCCCCGCCAAGTCCCGGAGGATAATAAACGGCAAATATATCCACCTGTAACTGCAAAATATATCCGCCCGCATTGCAAGGCAACCGCAAGGACGAGCGGCCGAATGCCAACATGATCCGGAGACGAGAGATAAAAACGGTCTAATTGCGTTTAAGTATGCAGGTACTCTCGCGATCAATACCGATTATGCAAAATCATCTCCATCTCAGACTACGCAGCTTGCATCACGAGCCCTCGCAATAGCATTCTCGTGGGCGTAAACAGCCCTCTAATAAACCCCACTCCACGCGCGTGTTCATAGAGGCAATAATTCAATAGCCACTACAGTTATAACCATCATTTAACTTTTAGCAGATAGGCGTTAGTATGCCAGGACTCTCCTTTCCACAGACCTGATAAGATCTTTAATGCGGTGTCATAATTCACCTGCCTTTACCAATCGCGTATCTACACGAAATGCTTAGGGATTCTTTCGCAATGTTTAAGGTGCTATAAAGTCTTCTCCGCGTCAGGAAAACAACCGGGAATCTGTTGATAAAGTCGTTCAATGGCCAATACCCCTCGCCCTCCACACTCAGCCGGTGAATTCACTCTGCCTGCGGAAGTCTTTCTTTGGCTCAGAAAGAAAGACGTGAGCGAATTACACATGGCCTCGCCGGACAAACAAGGGAGATGTGACTTCAACTTCAACCTCATCCTCCACCTTGTCCTCGACCTCGTCATCGACCTCATCCTCGAAGCCAAATCTTAACCCCCTTACTCGTCTTCAGCCTCGACTTCAACTTCAATCTCAATATCATCCTCAACTTCGACATGATCCTCAACCATTCACCTCCCCCTCGAGCTCCAATCTCGACCTCAACCTCGACCGCATTCTTATAACTTCGTCCTCCACCCCAACCCCGTCCTTGACCCAGCTCGCCCACAAGAAGGAGGGGGGAGGGGAGGGAAGAAAGGGGAGACAGACAAGACAGACCGATAAACACACCAATTACACAAAAAACAATGGGAATCAACCCCCTCCCCCCCTTCCCTAGGCCACGCCCCCGCCCCCGCACGCCGCAACTTGACCCAATAAAACCGATATTTGCGGAAATTCGCCAGAAAAAAAAACCGGAAGTGCGCGTGTTAAATCATCGTGACAACAAGCGCACGCTCCCTGTGACGTCACAAAACATGCTTTTCCCACGTCGCGATTCAGGAAATTGTACCATTAGCTGTGGGAGTGCGCCTTTTCTCTCGTTTATTTGCCCTTTTCCTTCTCCTTCTTGCACGTTCTTCTTTTTCTCTTTTTTTTTCTTTGTTTCCTTTCTCTCTTTCTCTTTCTCTTTCTCTTTCTCTTTCTCTCTCTCTCTCTCTCTGTTTTGTTTTGTTTTTGTTTTTTGCTTATTCTCTTTTCTCTTCCTTTCTTTCATTCATTCTTTCTTTCCTCGTCTCGCACCCTTACTCTCTATGATTTTCACTCTCACCCTCACCTTCGCCTCACTTTCACTCTCGTATCCACCCTCACCCTTATCCACACCCTTACCTTCTTCTCACTATCACTTTCACTCACCCTCACTCTCACTCTTACTCTTACTATTACTCTCACCCTCACCCTCACTCTCACTCTCACTCTCACTCTCACTCTCACTCTCACTCTCACTCTCACTCTCACTCTCACTCTCACTCTCACTCTCACTCTCACCCTCACTTTCACTCACCCTCTCCTCACTCTCACTCACTCTCCCACATAACACTCGTATATCCGAACGATTCCCTAATATCATAACTGATTTAATTATATTCTGTGCACCAAAATGAGAGAAAAAACAAGGAATAAATACGAGTAGAAAAACGACGAAAGACAAAGCAATGAGAGAGACAAAAATAAACGAAAAATTACAGAGAAATTGCATTAGAAATAACAATAAAAGCGCTAGACTTGACGGGAAAATAAATCAAGTGCGATGCCTGAGGTCTTTCGAATTTATTATTGAACTCCATTTCTCGCGCGGGGCAGAAAAGAGGAAAAGAGGAGGAAGAGGAGGAATAGGAGAAGAGGAGGAAGAGGAAGAGGAGGAAGAGGAAGAGGAGGAATAGGAGAAGAGGAGGAAGAGGAAGAGGAGGAAGAGGAAGAGGAGGAGGGAGACGACGACGACGACGAGGAGGAGGAGGAGGATTTTTCATTTTCATCCATACGTTTTTTACATATATTATATATACATATATACATATGCATAATATATATACATAATATATACATATATATGCATAAATATATAAATATAATTATACATATATATACATTATATACATACATTATACCATATACACGCATATATATATATATATATATATATATATATATATATATATATATATATATATATATATATATATATATATATATATATATATAAAAAGAGGATATAAAACCCATACTCCTCATTATCACAAGACGCCTTTCTGCACCAACGCACAAGCGCCAGCTATTGCACCACTTTTCGCAGCTAAAAGGCAACACACACACGCAAAAAAAGAGATTGTGTCCTCGACGAGAAGAGAGAGACACCGCCACCTGCCTCCCCGCTGATAAATTATATCAGTCACTCTTATCGCAATTAGCATCATCATCGCCATAAACGGCTTAAGCTTGGTTTCATGATTATCAATCTTCTCCAGCCAAGCGACCGCAATCAACAGCCAGTCACTTAACCAGATAACACGCCGAGCCGCCTTCCCTCACGGCGAGGCGCACGCGCGACCGGGGCCACGGGTGCAGGGCGCCAGGCATGGAGCACAGGCACGGTGGGGAGGGACGGACGGACGGACGGAGTGACTGACTGACTGACTAATTGACTGACTGACTGACTGACTGACTGACTGACTGACTGACTGACTGACTGACTGACTGACAGACAGACAGGCAGGCAGGCAGGCAGGCAGGCAGGCAGGCAGAAAGACACACAGACAGACAGACAGGCAGACAGACAGAGACAGAGAGACAGAGAGAGGAAGAGAGAAGGAGAGGTGGAGAGGAAGAGAGGAGGAGAGTAAGAGAGGAATAGAGGAAGCGAGAGGAAAAGACAAAGAGAAGGTGGGAGGAAGAGAGGGACACACAAAGTGAGTGAATGCGAATAAAACAAAACATCTGAACCCAGCACTGTGACCGGGAGACCAGGCGTTCGTCCATGCCAAACGCGCAATACGCCGGCCTAATACCCACCCAAAGGATGCTTCAGACCCTAACACATGCTAAAACGCTTCGTCAAATTCAAGTGCCAACCACAAGTAAAACCTCCCAGCTTAAGAGGTAGCAGGCAAGGGCCCAGCACTTCACGAGACCTGAAAAGACAACGTAACAAGCCATTCGATCTTCATTTGCATAGCTCAACAGCCTGCCAGGAATTAGTTATTCAAAACGTGCCATTCTCTTGCAACAAAGGCACTGCAGATAAATAACGTAGTTGTCTTGCATATAAACCGATATTGATGCACAGTCATACGTTTAGAAACCTGTGTCTGTGGATGTGAGTGCACAGTGTGTTTGTCTGTGCGTCTTTGTGTGTGTATGTGTATTTGTTTGTGTTTTTGGATGCTTGTTTGTATGTTTACTTGTATGTCTTAGGATGCTTGTTTCTGTGTTTGTTTGTGTCTGTGGGTGTTTGATTGTGTGTTTATTTGTGTGTGTGGGTGCTGGTTTGTGTGTTTGTGTATGTCGGTCCTTGTTTGTGTCTGTTTGTGTTTGCGAGTGTTTGATTGCGTTTGTGGGTAAACGTTTTTGTTTGTTTGCGCGTCTGTGGGTGCTTAATTGTATGCTTGTCTTGTGTCTATGTATTTTTGTATATTGTTGTTTGTGTTTGCATGTGCGCTGTGTGTGATTTCACGGGTAATTTTTTGGGTTAATCACACGAGCAAACCGTGAAGGCAGCTTTCCCTCACAGCCACTAACGAGATTTAGCACAAGTACGATGACAGACTTTGGTTGAGTCACAGTTCAGTTGCCGGTATTGTACTGCGCTAATCATGAGTTTTTACGCTTGGATTGTAAAACTTTCATATTACTATTCCCATTTTGAAACTGCTGAAGGGCGGGGAGGGGATTAATTTCGCTTTCCATCCCGCATGAAGATTAGGACTATCGTCAGTAGGGAAGTGTGTCGTTATGCTACTTTTATGGCTAAGTTCTCAATAACTACCTCCGAATTCTTATTTACTCTTAAGTTTATTGTTTTATTTAAACTTGACTGACTTAAATCATACTCCTAAAGGGAGATGTAAGTGCGAGTGTACATGTGTGTTTTATGTGTGCGTGAGCTTTCATGTACAAGTCCTGTACCCGTGTACCTATGTAGTTTAAACAAAGGCGAATAACCTTGGACGCAACAGGTAAGACTTGCTTGCAAAAAAAAAAAATGTCTTGCCCGAATCCAGCATCATCCTTCCTCAAACTGTGCATCTTAAAACTTTTTTTTCCCACGGGGATTTCTGCAAGGTCGCTCCAGCTGAGTCGGCTCTGGGGTCCTCACCTGCGACACGGGGAAGCCAACATGCCTCTCTGCGGCATCAATTGGCACTCTTGTCGCGAAGGACAATTGTATGGCTCTCTCGACCCCCATGGCAACCAGTCTTTCTTTCTCGAAAACTACAGAGAATCACCACTACTGTCTGTTTGTCTATCTGTCTGTCTGTGTTTGTCTGTGTCTGTCTGTGTATGTGTGTCTGTCTGTCTGTCTGTCTATCTGTCTATCTGTCTGTCTATCTCTCCCTCCCTCCCCCCCTCCCTCTCCCTCTCCCTCCCTCTTCCTCTCCCTCCTCCCCTCTCTACAGCGAACCACTACTCACCAACGGAGCCCCAAGAAGGGTGCGCTAGGTTGTTGTACCAGCCATCGTAGCGCTGTTTCTCGATGTAGCTCTCCGGGATATCTGGAAGGATGAAGGAACACGAGTTAATTTTGTTTTTTTATACTTAACTGCTTAAATTAATTAATTAATTAAGGAGAGATTGGATGGATGGATGGATGGATGGATGGATGGATGGATGGATGGATGAAGGGAGGGAGGGAGGGAAGGAAGGAAGGAAGGAAGGAAGGAAGGAAGGAAGGAAGGAAGGAAGGGAGGGAGGGAGGGAGGGAGGAAGGAAGGAAGGAGGGAGGGGGGGAGAGGGAGGGATGAATGAATGAATGAATGAATGAATGAATGAATGAATGAATGAATGAATGAATGGAGGGAGGGAGGAAGAGAAGAGGGAGGAGTTTTTATAATAATTACAAATATATATATATATATATATATATATATATATATATATATATATATATATATATATATATATATATAATATTTCATGTATTACGAAAAAAGAGAGAACTATAAGAATGAGCCTCGGTATTTGAAAATGTCTAGAAGCGTGCATTAATCTTATGATATTATCATAAGATTAAAGTTAATTTTAATAGCAATCAGTAAATAAGGGTTATGGATATTTTATTTATTCCTTGCTCTACCCGGAATAGGAAAGAAAAATATTGAACATTAAAACAAAAAAATAACAAAAAATACAGGAACAACAACGGTAATATCGTATAAACAAACAAACAAAACAAAGACATGGAATGCACAAAATGAGATGCCAAACCATTAGCCTAAAAGACGACCACGAACGACTGACAAAGTTACAAATACGGCCTTTCCATCATCAGGGCACCTTCGGTCCTCCCATCTCCCCCTCCCCGCTTCCCCTCCTCCTCCTCCTCCTCCTCCCCCCACTCCGCATCCCCTTCCCCTTCGTCTCTTTGCCCTCTTCTCCCTCCTCACGCTTTCTCTTCCCCTCTCCTTCTCCCCACCCTCTTATCCTCACCTTCCATTTCCCCTTGTCCCCTTATCCCTTCCCTCTCTCCTTCGAATTCTCCTTCCCTTTCCCCTTATCCCCTTATCCCTTCCCTCTCTCCTTCGACTTCCCCTTCCATTTCCCCTTATCCCCTTGCCCATTCCTTCTCCCCTTCGACTTTCCCTTCCCTTTCCCCTTATCCCCTTATCCCTTCCCTCTCTCCTTCGACTTCCCCTTCCCTTTCCCCTTGTCGGGCGAAGGACTGAGGGGATGGGTATGAGCGAAGGGCTGAGGGAAGGGGTATGGATGAATGGATGATAGGGGTATGGGTAGGGGGGGTAGGGGGGCAAGGGGGGAGGGGGGTTCTTAATCGCAAAGGTTGATGAGTTACAGCGCATGGCGAGCGTATTATTATATGCAAATTCGCGTTGGAAAGTGAAGAGGTTATGGCTGGCCTCTCGCTCGGCCATTCCGTCTATGGGCACGAGGACGTCGATACATTCTTTAAATGGGCGCGTTTTTACTCTCTCTTTCTCTTTCCTATTTCACTTTATCTGTACCTTTCTCTTTCATATTCTCTCTCTCTTTCTCTTTCACAGTCTTTCTATTTCTCTTTCATATTTCTCTCTCTCTCTCTCTCTCTCTCTCTCTCTCTCTCTCTCTCTCTCTCTCTCTCTCTCTCTCTCTCTCTCTCTCTCTCTCTCTCTCTCTCTCTCTCTCTCTCTCTTTCGTATTCTCTCTCTCTTTCTCTTTCATATTCTCCTTCTCATCCAATTACTCTCACCCTCTCTCCCTCATACTCCAGCCTCCTCATACTTCAACACAGCCTCATTTCCAATCACTCCCTCATACCAAAATCTTTTTCATAGGCCTATCTTTCATTAATCCCTTAGGCATATTTTCACACCCCATCACTTAAAAAGGACTAATCCATTAACTCCTCCTTCGCAGCCTTCGCTTGTTCTTACAACCACCACTCCCTCATAGGTCTAATGCCTCACAAATCCATAATTCATTCTTAAACCTCCCCCTCCCCCCTCATACTTTCTTTCACCCCATGACTTTCAAACTCTGTCATACTGTCACTCTCTCGCTCTCATACTCATTATATCATTCTCTCACTCTTGTTCATCCCTCATACTCCCTCATACCCCACCATCCCTCATACTCCCTCACACGCTATCATTCCTCATACTCACACGCCACTATTCCTCATACTCACGTCACTATTCCTCATACTCACGTCACTATTCCTCATACTCACGTCACTATTCCTCATACTCACACGTCACTATTCCTCATACTCACACGTCACTATTCCTCATACTCCCTCATACGTCACCATCCCTCATACTCCCTCACATCCACCATTCCTCATATTCCCTCACACGCCACCATTCCTCATACTCCCTCACACGTCACTATTCCTCATACTCCCTCATACGCCTCCACCCCTCATACTCCCTCACACCCCACCATTCCTCATACTCCCTCACACCCCACCTTCCCCCTCAAATCAAAGACCCCAAGCTTATAAACTCACACACTCGCCTATCAACCCCTATCCCTACCCTAAACCCCAACATAGGCCT